CGCAGCAGGAAGAGCTAAGCAATGAAGCCATTCTGGTTTACATCAGATGAAGATCTGGCTTTAACTACATGACCGAATAAAATGAGAGTCTTCGGTTTTTCTAAATAAGTGTAGATATAAGACTGTCCTTTTTTCAGGGACTGAACTGATTGTCCAAAATGCAAACCTGCCACATGGAAGGTTTGGGTTTTAAACACATGTATCCTTAAAACTCTATTTTACTGTGTAGTGGGATAAATATCTTTGTTCATGTATCTATCATTGAGGTTTTAAGTGAATTTGTTTTCATGAAAATAAAGCCAACTAATTCTATATTCAGACAGCATTGCCAGTTTCCCCTCTTTGTCCAAAAAAAAGGTAAGGACCAATGGTAAGATACCATACTTTCATTCTTCATTCTGTTTAGAAACTGCTTATATACAGGAGGGGGCTATGAATAATTACATATTATAGAGTAAAATTCTTATCATCTGGGCTTTGAATTATTATTTTATTTGCATTTATATAGATAAAAATCACCCTACTTAAGTTCTTATTTGAGAATCTGATATCATATTTGTTAACACTGAGGAAATCAATTAATGGAAATTATATGTTCAAAGTTTCACAGTCTGACAGATACAATCTTAGTCTGAAGTCACTCTATGTCTGGAAGTACTTGCTAAGGGAGAGCAATCAAAGCACCTAAATTGAATTGCTACTATACAGCAATTAGTTTATTGATTTAATTAAGAATGCCACCTTTTAATTTTCAGGTCATGATTGAAGCATTTTCTGATTCAATGGATTAGGCATTAGCAGAATGACAGATCTTCCAAGAAAACCTCCCAAAATATAACCTGGAATAGAGAACCAGGGCTGGAAGTGCAGTGCTATTCTAAAGCGGCTTCGTTCATAAATATGAAATAATACACTGCTAGAGTATTTTAAACGCATTACTGGCATCTGCTTCCAAAAAGAGATGTCTCATCAATCATGTTACGTTATGAATTCAGAGTGCACTGATTCTATGACAGTAAATTCAACTTAATAAGTAAGGTACTTTCTAACACTACTTGTTACATTATTATTAAAGCACAAAAATAATAACTGGTTAGCAATTCCCGGGTTATAAGTACTAGTTATGTGGGTAAATATTTTCTTCTAAATTTGCAGCAGCTAAGAAACCTTAGAGGTAATCTTTTAAATCAGAGCTACTACCTCTTTTTTAATGCTGAACTCTAGCAATGCAATTCAAAATAATTTATTACTGATGTTATACTATTAAACTTAAGATTTGTTGCATAAACCTTGGTATGTTCAGCAGTCTGTTTGTCCTCTCCATGCTAGGGTCTCAGCCTATAAACCTATTTATATGACAAGACCTTCTGGCCTGATTCTGCTAGCAGCTTTCTGCGGATGTCAGTGGAATCTTTTATGTCACATGAGTAATGTCAGAGGAATCGGGCAGGTCCTATTCATTTAATTTTCTCATGTGAATAGGGGCTATTGAGCTGTGTGAGTGGCTGCAGAAGAGGTTCATAGGCCTTTATCGATAGAAACATATTTATATTTAAACAGGTTACTAAACCTTTAATATCAAAATGCAGAAAGTTAGTCCTACACATAAATATTTCCATAACTGGGACTGTAGACCGTAAGCTCTTTATGCCATGGAATATATGATTTGTATGACTTACATCTTTGTGACATTCACTGTACAGACACTAAAACACAAACTCCAAGAGCCACTGCCACATTTTACTGACTAATACTAAGCTCTCAGTGAAGTCGATATAATACCAACTTACAAAGCAAATGGAGTATAAGCAATCAAGATTAGGCCCAATAGTAATTCATAATTTCTATAAAGGTTATGACTTTATTTGTTCAGAGGTCTCAGAAACATCATCATGCAGCATATGGAAATGTCAGTCTTTGCCAGTATTACAGTAAACTTTTCTGCCCTTCTTATCTTACAGTTGGAAAAAACTATTTGTCCTGTAGCAGATATCCTCAGCCTCTTTTCACACCCACCGCAACAAAAAGTTGTGTGCTGACAACTGGCTTTTGATCCACTCCAGTGGACATTAAGTGACTTATGCCATCCCAGATTTCTAGCAATGTTGAGGACAGCATTTCTTATTTACAGAGTATAAGGTAAGTTATGAACCCATCCCAAATTATGAGAGACATTATTCTTTTTAAGCTCTTATGAGACTCTGTAATAATAGTAGTAGTAGTAGTAGTAATAGTAGTAATAATAATAATAAACAGAGAAGAGCATTGCTGGCAACACTAACATCTTCAAAGTGCTTCAAAGATCAGTGCCTTGGAGAGTAGAGAAATGACCAAGCTCTGTTTCATGTGCTCAAAATAGAAACTAAATATTGAGTATCACAGAAAAGTCACCATGTCCTTCTAATGAAAATGTGAAAAATACAGAGAAGGCATATAATACTCACTGGCATAGGGAGAATTGGCAGCAGATCCATTCAGGAAGGTTGGAGAACCGCCTAAATTTGACATTCCAGCATTCCCATAGCCATTCATGCTTGTTGTGACAGAGTTATAATTTGTCTGCTGAGGGGTGGTGCTTGGCACATAGCCATGAGGTGACACGCTGCTTGAGTTGCGAGTAAAACCTTTTGTGGGGAGGGAATACATTTAGAAATTGGTATTAGCCTGAGAATAGTTTCTTACACAAACAGCTACAAGCAAGTAACTCTGGGCTACCAAGCCAGCAGCCTAGCCCAGCCATGGAGTGCACGGGGAGGGCTAGGACTGACCACCACTACCACCAGGTAACCCAAATTGTGAACCCTCACTGCCTGGGTCATTGCCGATGGAAGCAAAAAGGAGGAGGGGGGCAGTTACAGCCTTTACTGCTCAAAGTAAAGATTACCCTCAAGCAAAGGTTACCATTGGGTATTATAGGAACACTCACTCTAAAAGAGCTGTTTGTAGGCAACGGAGTAAACATGACCTACATTTTCGAAGTGAGGAGTACATACTGACTTAAGGCATGTTAAAAGCATGTGATTTTTATTAACTCTCTTCTGATGTCGCTCTTATTTAATGCATCTCAAATTAGATGCTCACTGCACACTTTGGAAAACGTAGAGTATACTTCTCAAAGTAGTGAGATATCCTTAGTCTTTTTGCCCTGGTCTGATCATTATGTTGGTAGAAAAATGACTATCAAATTTGGCAGCAAGTTAAAATTTGAATTTCTACCTAATTCTGGAAATTATATTTGGGGAAACTCATATTCAAATATCCAAAAAGGAGGATTTCCTTCTAGAAGCACCAAAATGGCAACTTTCCTTCCTACCACACAGTACATCCATAAAATGTTTTAATCTAGAAATCATTTTTGTTTTTTCAGTGTAATGCAAAATAATTTTTTCTGCCCTTCTAGAAAACAGCCTCATTCTATTACTTTCTCATTCAGGTGGATTTTTAAGTTGGATAATAAATAGAGCTGAGCAAAGGAGCAGGGTAAATGCAAAGGGGTTTTATAAAAATGTTCTTAATCTTTTTTTTATTTATTTTTAACTGTAGGAATTAAAACAATAGTGATTTTACACAAAGTGAAAAATACTTTCTTGTAAAAATTAAAGAAGCTCTGAATATGTCTTTGTAAATATTTATTTTTTCCTACTTTCAAAATTTAGGAAAATCTCAAACTCTGAAAAAAAATCAGTGCCAATATTATGTCTCTTGCAAAACCAAATCAAGCCAGACCAAACCGACAAATATTCAAGGGATACTTCTGTGTTATAAAGAAATGTTGTGTAGGGCCCAGACTGAGAGATCATCCATGCTCAGGAGAACATATAACCAAGTATTTAACATTAAGTACATGCTCAAGTTAATAAAAAATCCCTTTAAAATTAGTGGGATTTAAACACAAATACAAGTGTTATTCTGAGCAGAAGGAAAAGCTATTTAGGTATATGCAGAAGTACTTTTCCTGAACTGGGGCAAAAGTCACTAAAGCAAGCTCCATCTCATGACAGGTTTGTGCCATTCAAAGGTTGTGCATGCGTGTGGGATGGTGTCTGTCCTAGCCTTCAGTTCTGAACCATCCCTCTTTCACCACTCTGTGTGTTTCCCCTGACTTTTAACAGAAAAGGTTCATAGAGAGAGGAAGACGAGTCTTCTCCTGACCCTGATTGGTGGCTTGTGAGGCTTCGGAAACATTGACAGCTAGTTGACCACTAAAGGAATTCACTCCCATCATTCCTGCATGGACTGACGTGTTAGCAAGGGCGGGGAGCTGGTTGTGGTTGCGGGGGACACTGTAGAGTGCTTCTGCGATGTCTGCTGCTCTTTTCAGGATTATTTCCTAGAGAATATGAAGGGAAAAAAGAATAAAAGAGTTATGAATGTGACTCTGACAAACCTTTTTTTACACACTAAAATGAGACAATTCGCTGTCCAAAGACAAAAACTAGATGCTTTTCTTTCTAAACCAGTTAGCTGACTGATAGCTGATGCTTATAAGATCTGCTTGCCTTCATGATAAATCCTGACATCTGTGGTAAGAGAGTTGGAAGTTTTAATCCCAGCGGCCACGCTCCTGTATAACAAGACCAACTGGCAGAATCAGGCTGGAGCCTGGATTTACTCCACCCTAAAGCTATCTTTAGGGTAAGATTGAAAAATCACCGGTGGAAAGACCTAATGCATATCATTGCCCATATTATATAGTATCTGGTGAATGTGGGCAAATGCCTCCAGGGTTAATAACATGTTGCTTTTACAAGCACTAAATTCACAGCCTTTAAAAAAGAAAACAAGCAAACTAACCCCCATTCCAGATATGACATTGTCCTCTATATTTATTCTTGTCTCACATTGTAATATCATATACCTTTAGCCCCTGAACTATCTATACATCTATGAAATAGCCATGTTTTAGAAGTGCTGAAGTAGAATGCATTTACCTGGTTATTATGTGGCATACCATAGAGTGCTTCTACTAAATCAGCAGCTCTCTTAAGTATTACTTCCTGTCAATACAAAAACAGATGCATTCCTCTGAGTTTAATAAACTCCTTGTGGGGGAAAACAAATATTAGACGCTTTTATACTTTTCTATTAGTTGCACTGTGTTTTGTGGGTTTTTTCCTCCCACCAGGTACACCTTAATTGTAACAACTCTCAGCAACCACTGAATGGTGTTAAATCACTAGTTCATCCTATTCACACACAGGCTTAATCAAGTCAAAAGGTGAGAATCATTGGTGCTGCAAAATAAAATACATCACTCAATTGTCTCCACCATCTGCACTATAAACCACTCATCGGTTTATTGCAGAATACAATCCTGAGGTCATTTACTAGATTACTGCAATCAATGTCATTCAGAGCATGTTATGAATCCCTTCAATGTGTTTATTTTATTCTTAATTGCACACTGCAGGAATTGTGACCTTACCCAGAAGGCCACGTTCAAAAGATGCCCAATCAGTCCTATGCTACTGGTAACGTAACCTTTCAACTTCTTTGGTTTGTATTCTCATACGATGGGTCAGGGTAGGATCCATGTACATAAGATGATGTACAAGAGGAAAACACATGCGGTGTGAGGGAGTGGCTCAGTACTGTGCAGTGTTTCCTGGAAGAATTCCCTGCAGGGACAGCAGAATTTAAAACAGTGTGGGATTTAGTTCTCCATTTTGGGCAATTTTTTTTTTCTTCATTTTCCTATTTGTTCCTTTACACTTAATATTTCTTAGAATATTTTAAACTGGCATTCAAGTAGTAATAGCATTTCCCGTGTTCTTACATTTTACAGTGTGGAAAAGTCTCTATGAACAATCCTGATAGAAAATGTAAAAATGCCTTGCAGAATTAACCCAGAAGACCTTTTTTTTCTAGAAGATTTCCAATTGCCTGATCAAAACCAGCTGAGACTGTCTTTTCAGGAGAACAATGTATTTTTGTAATTCCAAGGCCCTAAGTATTGCTCTAATATACTAACATGAGTCTATTCACCATGGTATATTTCCACATGTAGCTTACAAAAATAGTACCAGTTCTAAGCATTTTGCAGTTTTCTACAAAGTTAAACTTTTTATCTTTAATATTTTACACAACAGCCATATTTTATACCAAAAAGAAACAGTAATGCTCAATTTTCATATACTGTAGACTCTGATCAGAAAATAGAGATATAATTGCATTCATTTTGCTGTCACCATAACCTCTTCAAAAATCCTTGAACAACTCTTCAAATGACAAGCTTTTAGATGCATATTAGCATTTTTTTCAATTTTAAATTCTCTATAATATAAGATAAAATAGTTGTCATACTGCAGTAACTACTTATGACATATATAATGTCCTAAATTCAAAAATGAGATGGAGGATTTTTGTACTCCCAGTAAACATTTAGGCTTGCCTTCTGCTGCACACACCTCTCTCTCAGAACACACATATAAATTATTTTCCACACATGAAGTGAGACGTAATATATAATTGACGTATTTTTAAATCACTAAATCACGTTTTTCACATTTGAAACAGATTCTGAGGAGTTAAGTCACTACAGCCTTTTTCTGGGTTTTTTAGTTGTGTGTTGTTTTTTTTTTTCCTTTCTATTGTGGTTGTTGTTTTGTTTTGTTTTTGTGTAGCTTGACCACAGCAGTTAGCAGTGTAATCATGGACAGATAGACTACAGACAACATCCAGGTACAATCATTCATTATTGCTTTACCAGAATCACCAGAACACTGAGTTGCCCTTTTTGCCTCACATTGAAGATACAAACTAGAAAAGAACAAGAGATGTTACTGAAAAATGTTATGTTTTTCGATCCATGATTTCAGCTGGAAAATTACTGCACAGGTGTTTGACTTTGCAAACTAGGATTTATTTCACTTCAGTAGAAATTGTTTGCACTACCTATTTCACTGATGCAAAATTAGAATGTGATACAGAGCCCACAAACTGCTTTTTAGTATTGTTAACCTAAACTGTCATTATGCCAAATTACTAAAAAAAATAAAGTTTAAATAGTCATTTCTGCTCGACCTGATTAATCATAGTTATTTATGTAATGCTGAGCTAAAAACATTAGAATGCATCTAAAAAGAGATTGAAGACTATGTTAAAAAATGAGGTAATTACATGGAATCTTACAGGCGCTCTACCTAATATCAAATATATTCCAGTTCTTAAACATTGGAAGTTCTCTGATGACACATCATATTGCATGTAAATAAAAATAATTGTCATGAGGGTTTACTGAAATATGCTTGACAAGGAGCATTCAATTTTCCTAGCTGGTTATATTTTTCCCAACATTTTCAGAGTCTGTAAATTTGAGTTTCATACTTTCTCTAACAATATTTTCACACAATAAAAGCATGTCTTGTTTATGACATTTTCAGATCATACAAAGTAGATGTTACCCAAAAACTCCCTTGTCAAATAGTGGTATCTTCTATTCCAGAACTGACGGTAGTTCTTATAGACACAAACTAGCTTTAAAAATACACAATAAAATGCTACTAAAGGCATGCTCAAGATATTAACTTCTTGTTTTCTGAATGCACCTTAAACCCTTTGCACCTCTGCTTAAATTACCATAGAAGCTACTGTTAGGACCCCACATACAAAGGAGCCCCAAAAGTCCTCTATAAGTTAGAGCAGCAGACCTTGCAAGGTGCTTGGATTGCGGTGACCAGAAAATTGTTCTCACCTCCATGTCATTACGCTCACAGTGAAGCAGCCCCCGAGCATGTTTGTGTTCGGGATCTAATATATTGCCTTTCAATCAGAGCTGAGAGCCACTGAACACATAGACGGAACATGACGAGCAGGTCAGGAAAGCAATAAAGATTTTACAGAGCTGTCCAAGGTGCTAAATTTACTCAATAATGGGTTTGGCACCATAGTGTTAACCTCTCATTTACTACCAGTTTGAGGGACTAAATTGAAGTAGCTGACTTCATTTACCTTGAAATGTATATTTTATGACATTATGTAAGTAGATTGAAAGGGCACTGCAGTTTTAACAATTTAAAGGCTAGAGCATGTTTAAGATGAAGCTCGAATATTTATTGTATGTTGCACTTAAACTATATTGTATATTAAAATGCATTGATTAAATTTGTAAAAGGTATTATAAAAAAGGACAGCTAATATAAAAGATCTATGCCTTTTGAAATCCAATACTGCCTGTTACCACTGCAATGGTGACAGATAAGCAGATAGATAGGTGGACAGAGCAGCAGACGGACATATCAAGAAGTGAGTGAAACTCACATTTTATAAAAAGAAATCTCTGCATAAGCTCAAGGTCACTTATTCCAGATATTCTTTTGTTCACAGAAATTCCTCTTTGCCTTCATTTCAGAAGCCTAGATTTTCACAGCAGTATGTGGGCATCAGGTAAGGTCCTTCCAATCAAATATGGAAGTGGAAATATTTCCTGAGAGAGACAGAGTTTGACTAAAGCTAATATCTAATTTATGGGGGCATTTGTCAAGAAAGAGCCACTCTTCTATAAATGCTAAAAGTCCGACAGCTTTTGGTTTAGAATAAAGGACCTTGCAGCATTTAGTTAGAGCTAAATTGAGGGTCTTCTTGTCCCGTATTTTATTTAAAATGAGCATCATTTTATTTCAATAAAAATAACGATTGAACAAATACTGAAAAGAGGAAAGATTACTTTAGTGATTACATATGATGCCCTCCATGCAGATACACACCACAGATCCAGAGTCCATTTTTGTGCCAAACTGAAGCTGATTTTCTACTGAAGGATTTTTACTTTTTTAATTTTTGAAACTGGAATGCAATTAAATATTTTAATCAAATTTTCCTCCTGAAAATACTAAGGGGTGTTTACATAAGCAAAAAAGGAGTCTGGGTAGTGAAGTCTGCTGAAACTGCATATTCCAAAATTACCGTAGGAAAGATTATATAAATCATACTGGAATGACTGTGCTTTTGAAGCACAGAGACTGACATTCAGACTGAATCCACTTCTGACAGAATGTAGCTTGAACCAATGTTACAGCAACTTTGCATGTTTTGTTTGTGGCATGTATCCCCATTAGAAGAAATTAATTAAGATCATGAAACTTGCATTTAAAGCTTTATCATGACAAAAACATTTTGTCTCAAGTTTTATCATGATAAACACATTTTGTTCCAGCTTTAAAAAAGATGGGATACTTCTTCTGCTGACATCTGCTTACTTTTTATTCAGCAACTAGTGAAAAAAAATCCACGGTGTCCTAAAAGGGCTGTGAGTCTAGTCAGCTAAAGGGTATCTAGAGTTACACGGAGTTATTCAGCTTAAGTAACTAGATTAGATAATGTTCAAGGTACTTGTTAAATCGAAATTAATTTTGTCAAGAAGCAGCTGACCACAGTATGTAATACTCATCAGCCACATATTGTATTATTGAGACCACCAAACGATTTATGTACTTGTGGAGGGCGTGAGGGGGAAGCTGTTCTAGCATACTCTGAGGCATTTATCTTATGTGTTGTCTAGATATCATATCACCTTCTAATGCTCTTTAGCATTGTAATACAAGAGAGAGCTCGTTCATCTTCTGAGAGGGTACTTAGGGATGATGATGTCATTCATACTTCCTTGACTCTTATGTCTGACCTCCTGGCTCTGCCTTCTAACTTCCTACTCTCATGGCTACTCGCAAGAAAAAAAAACTCCTCTGCAGAGTCTCAATACTGAACATCAGACTCCAGTTCCCCTCTTCACCTTGGAAAGGACACATTCTGAAATTTCAAGTCAAAACTACAATAATTTGTGCTCAAATTTTTCCTTTGTTTTTCAATGGGTGAAACTATAAATGTGCTAGTTAAGGATATGTGTTAGAACTAAGTTTTAAACTTCTACTTAAAATTTGTGTATGCACTGCATTTTAAAATATAAAGACAATATTGTGAACACGCCTTTCAAGTGTAAAGGCAAAACCAACATTTTGGTAGAGAGCCATTTAGAAGGACGCCACAGATCTAAAATGCCAGC